TTTACAAGAAACAAAGAGTGGACTATATACTTCACAATATGGGCTATTTAATCGTAAAAAAACTTTGGTTTCAGCTATCACTCGATTCATATAATCAATTTTTTTTGTCTACGCTAATCTGTTTTTCGCAAAAAGGTACTCAATAAAGTGAGTTTCCACAGCTTCAAATTGCATAAAACTTTCTATAAATATTCTAAGTCAATCTTTACCTGCCATGCCAAAATGTACACTGCGAACAACTAGCCCGTCTCAGTCTCATATATTTCAAACTATGTTCTTTGGTTGCTTCTATCTCTCTATATCAAATACTGAACGAAAGCTTTTTTCTTAAAAACAAATTTCGAATATTCAGTAGGTTAAAGATAAAATCGATCTTGTTCATCATAGGTACACAAGAAATCAAATTCATCCTGCTCCATCTTCTCTAATTCTTTTAGCCTTAGAACTACTTTCATTTCCTGTATTTCCTTTCAGAATGTGAGTTTAGATGTATGGCGATGATAGCTGGAAGAGATTTTTAGACCAAGATTTAAGATCTTATGAAGAACTACCTTTACTAATGATGAAGAGTCGCAAAAAGATCTCTATTTATGTATTAATATTCTTTTAACTTACGCCATTTGTCTTGGTACAACTGAAGCACCACTTTGATCTCTTAATGCACCGGGTATATGTTTTGGAACCGGAATAAGACGATCACGTGGTATACCAGTAGTTTTCTTAGGTAATGGTTCACCACGTGGATGACCTGCACCACGATGAGAACGATTTCCACGATGATGATAAGACATTGGATATGGTGCATGACGTGTAACAATATGTGATGAATGCGATCCAGATGATCGATTTGAGCCAGAATTTGTTGAAGATGTTCCATCATTGGCAGATGATGATGAACCAGATGCATTACCGGTTGAAATTGAATTTGATGACTGTTAAAGATATTAAAAAAAAATCGAATAGGAAATGATCAATCGAAAAAAAAAAGAAGGTCCATTCTAAGTTATATAAAACAGGACAGCTATACATTTTCATTCTTATTATTCATATGATTATAATTTTTAGTATCTTTATTATTAATGATTGAATAATATGATGTATACAAAAGTTATAAAAAACAAAGGACGACATTAATCATGACCGATTTTATATACAAGAAAAGCTCTCTAATATAGGTAACATAGCGACCACCCAACAATGTTTGCTTGCAAATGATCTTTTTTCTCTGTCCAGAAATTAAATAAATTCAACTTTTTCATCATAGATAAACCAACTCATATTGACATGACTTGATGATACTAGATTTTAACTCAAACATAAGTGCTGTTGTCTAATAACCTATTTTGCTTTTAAATATGTACGATTAGTTCGTCTACTTTTTCTCATTCTACACATAAATAATACGACATATGTTGCTCATATTACAGAGGTTATATTGCTCGCAACACTAGACATAAGAATCCTTAAAGTAGTGCTCATTCTTAACAAAATTCGTTTGGGTCAACGATGGACTGGTCCAATAAAAGATAACATTCACAAAGAGAGATTTTACAATACAATGAATCGATTATAAAAATGAAAGCTGTTAGCATAATCCCTGCGAAATTAAAGCGTGGGATACACTTCTTCAGTCTCGTGTGGTTGTATATCAATAGCGTCTGCTACGATCTGAGATGGTCCCTCACCAAAGTTTAGAGTCCAAATTTTCCTCATTCATCAAACTTTTATAGATCCGATCGAACCGTACTTTAATACTCTCAATGAAATTTTCTAATCAGAATAAAATAACCGCTCCCAAGATACGAAATACTTTTTTTCAAGTTGTTGTATTCAGTAACTAGCGCACTCTATAAATATCTTAGACAAGTCATCTGAGACATGTATAGAGTAGCGCCCAGTGGGTCCAAAGTTTTCAGATGCAGTTAACAGAAAAATCTTAGGCTCAGACTCGAGATGAACGTGATGGGCTTTATCAGCGCCTGATACAGTCTATTGGACGAGTGTAAATTTTCTACTCTATATAGTTCAACACTCGTTGTAGAGTTTGTTTCAAAAACCTACCAGAATTAAAGGACATTGATTTTTTATATGACCAGGTTGTTTGCAATTGTGACAAACAAATAAATTCGTACGATATGGTTGTTGTGATGTTCTATTAAATAAAAATCATTAATTCAAGTCTTATTTTTTTTGTTTTCTATATGCAAACTTACACATAACGAGCTTGAGAACCCATTTGAATTTCTTTTATTAGTTCATCTTCAGTCAATTCTTTCGATGAAGCATTACTTGTCGACTAAAATATTTCAAAATTAATTGATTAATTAATTTGTTTCATTTTTAATATTAATTTATTTACTTCAGAATTTTTTTTCAATAGAGTTGAATTAGTTTCGACATTTGATGATGCACTTGTCGTTGTAACCGTTTGACTTTGATTTAAAATAGCAGGTCGAAGAATACTGTCATAATAAAAAAAACAAAAAAAAAAAAATATTTAATTTTTTTTCCTTTGTAATAAAAATTATTATTACTCTTTGACAATATCATCTGATGAAACAACAGGTTTTTGATTTGAAAATGGTGTTAATGTATCAACTGTTCCACGTATACGTCGAGCTACAATAACACTTGCATTACGAGGTATTAAGTCCGAATTATCTTTGTATTCTAAATATATAAAAATTTATATTCAAATATGAAGAAAGAAGTTGTTAACCAACCTTCATGAGTATTTGCATTGCTAATAATTAAATCATAATCATCTTTAGGATAATAAGTTCCTGAACGTGATGATTTTGCAGCAATTAAACGTTTAAGTTCTCCAAGAGAACAATTCATTCCATCAATTTTTACTGATTCAAAATTTTTGTCTGCTTTAAATCGATATCGAATAATCGACATGATTTTTTTTTTTTCGATAGACAAAAGATACAATAATACAGAAATGAAACTGATACAGGACGTTTATTTTTTTTCTTATCGTTGTAAGATGAGAAATTAAAATTAGCAGAGGAAAAACAAACACTTTTTTCAACTAGTCTTGAAAAAAAAACGTACACACACACACACGCACACACACAAACGAAATGTTATTGGACAATCGACGATGATCACGATGATCAACTAGATGACCGAAGAAATCGTTGAATACGACGGAAAACGATGACGATGGTACGGTATAGATTTTCCAGACACGACAGTTTACAATCTACAAAATAAAAAGAAAGGAAGTGTCGATCAGTTCAATTTTTATACGTGTCACGAGTAATGTCGAAACAAGGAAAAAGCCATATGAATCATAACATAACAACAAACAAAAAATAATAATAATCGTGCATAACTGTGAGAAGGCAGCCTCCATTTTCAATTTAATTTTTTTATTCGAAATTAAAAAAGGTTAATCATTTTTATTATTTCAAAAATCAAAATGCCACCATATTTCTAAAAAAGAAAAATAAATTTTAGAAAATATGACGACATCTAGTGTCGCCCATCATCGGTAACTAACATAAGTTAATTCAAGAGAACGATAAGTTTTTTTTCCGTCTAATCATATAATCTCAAGTGATGAGAAACTACCGACTGGATCAAATTCCACGTTTTTGATTTGCTGAATTTATGTTACTATTGGCTGAAATTTAGTTCAGTGTTCGTTCTTAAATATTTCTTTAATGACAAAGTTATTACGAAATCAGAATGTGTCGATTTCTAAGAAACTAAGTCACGATATAATACTTGAAATGATTGTCGTTTTTCAGTGTAATCAATTTAAACATTGTATAGAGATAAAAATAAGATATATTTAGTGTTTTAACACTTTGATAATGTTTTATTGAATAGACAACTTTTGCCATAAATATTCTTCACTTTTTTTCTCACTTCATGTAACAAGATGTTTCAAGTGTCGCCATTTTTTCGCCTACAGTATACTGGCTAAATTAGTCATTTTTATCGAATTCATATTCCGTAGAAACAACATATGTTTTTTTTGTGTTGTAGCTTAGCAGGTGATCGTAAGAAACAGAAAAGCGACGTTTGTGAAGTGCGCATGTCTCTCGCTTTTAGAATTTTACAAAAAAGAGGAGGTATGTTCAGATTTTTGAAAAAGGAAATTATCAAAATTTCCATCAGTTTGATAACTACTTAGCAATATAAACCAAAGTTTTTAGAAATTCTAGTGAGTACTGAGTCATAGCAATTTCCAAAATTACATCATTGTCGAAAGTACCGAACTATCTGGAATACAAATGCTGGAAATTTTCGAAATTTTCTTTGTTGAAATTTTGAACAATGCTGATTTCTCTAACAAGCCACTCGTAGTTTTATAATAATTCTTCCAAGTTTCAAGTTTTTGAGATAAAAGAAGGAAAAGGTAAAAGTAATTGAAAAATTCTAACGTCATGTTTCTTTTGTACATTCCTGCAGAAATAGAAACAAAAAAACGTACATTTAAATTTTCGGTAAAGATTAACTTTTTTTCAGTTTCTTTATCATATTGATCTCGACAGTTATGTTCTCAAATTCTTTAGGTCATCACTTCTATGAATAAGTTTTACTATAATATAGCATAGATGACATAAAAACGACATTAATTATATTGAATCATTTGAGGTTTATCGCGAGACAGTCAATATTGGGTAGATTGCGATTTTTTTCGTAAGAGAACATAAGAAAAACTTTCGACTTTGTTGGTAAAAAGAACAAAAGTTTATCATAATTGTGGGTCGTTACGTCCCCAATCGAACCAGTCTTGAATAAGTCAAAAAAAAAGAACATAAAATCATATCATTGATATATCAAAGTTTTCTTTGACTGCCATCTATTCAATTATCCAACAAACCATTGGTTCAATTTCTGCGCTGTTATTACTCATTCTTTCTTTCTTCTTCTTGTCTCTCTTGTCAATGAATCGAGACAAAAAAAATTGAGAGAAAAAATTTATCAAGTTAGTTTTTTTCTGACTCCTGAGAATTGATTTATTTTAGATGTATTAAATAATGAATTTATCTCAAAGAAAAATGTCTTTAACTCCAGACAATTCACCGAGAGATGAAGGTATACAAATAAAAAAAAAACATAAATTCTTATTAAATTTTAACTTGCTTTTCATTTAGAACATGATTGGGATACATATTTAATTGAAACAAATAGTGAAGCAGCACCAGCTTGTAATTTTAGACAAGTACATATTTATTTTTCTTTTCAATTAGTTACTATTTAATTAATCATTTTTCTTTCAAGTCATTAATTCCACCAAAAAATGAATTTAATATTGGAGAAAAACTTGAATCAATTGATCCAAGAAATCAAGATTCATGGTGTATTGGAACAATAATTGATAAAGATGGACCAAGAATACGTATACGATTAGATGGAACTGATGATCGAAATGATTTTTGGCGACTTGTTGATTCAACTGATATTCGTTGTTATGGAACAACAGCTAAATTTGTATGAACAAAAAATAAACGAATTAAGAAAAAAAAATTCTTTTTATTCATCAAATATTTTAGGGTGGACAAATTGTACCTCCACTTGGTTTTCAACAAAATTCAACGCGATGGGCAAAATATTTTGAAAGAAATGTTAAAAATGGACCATTTGCGAATGCATCAAGTTTTAAAACGGTAAATAAATAAAATAATAATTTATTATAATTAAACGTTTTATATCATAGATACCCATAAAACCTGAAAAAAATCTTTTTAAAAAAGGACAAAAATTAGAAGCTGTTGATCCTAAACATCCAGAATTAATATGTCCAGCTACAGTAAATAATATAATTTATGGCGATCATAGAATTATGTTATCATTAGATGGTTGGAGTTCATCAAATAATTTTAAAGTTGATTATTCATCAAGAGAGATTTTTCCTGTTGGTTGGTGTAAATCCGCAGGAATTCGAATTGCTAAAGTCGGTGGAAATCGTATGTATTCATCAATTTTAACGAAGAAAAAAAAAATAATTTCAATATTTTTTCATTTTTATTTTTGTTTAGCTCCTTCTCGTACATCAATGAAATCATTACCAATAAGTCCAAATAAACAGAATGGAAATGTCCGACAGCAACAATCAAAAAATAAAAAAACAATTATTTCACCCTCATCTAATGATTCATCTTATTCATCAACAACAATGGATGAGAAGAATAATAATTTAGTAACGACAAAAAAGTCAAATACAACATCACCAAACAAAAATGAAAATAAAAGTTCACTAGATTTTCATGATATTCAAACGAAGAATATAAAAAAAGAACAGCTTATTGGTAAGATTTTTATTCACTCTAACTTAAATATGTGCGAAACTAACTATACTTGATCTTCATCTCTTGTCAAAAGTTTATTCAGTTTCAATCAATAGAGGGATTGGGTCCTGTTCAGCGTTCTTGATTAGGAGAGGATGGTGGGTTCCCAGCAGAATTTCTGACTTATTGACAATATTTTGTAGCTTCGTGATAAGTTTGTACGACAACCGGATTTTCAAAACACAATTTGCTTTTCTCTAGCACAAAAGTGACATGAAAAAAACCAGATCATATCATTGCGAGATGAATAAGATTGAGGAGATACGATCTGGTAGCAGGTCGCCTGTTGTAGAAGAGACCAAGCTACGATAGCTTTCGTTCCTCTTCTTACTTCTAGAAAAGTATTAGTAAGCTTGATCCTGTTTCGTTAAGCTGCTCCTATTCTTAAATAAGAACAGCAAGTTTGATGTTACATATGGCGCTGTGAAAGACATACTTATCATAGCCATATCTTAGGATAGAAATGACGAAAAGAACTAAAACTTTAAACTTAAACTCTTCTCATTAAGGTTTGTTTTTGTATAAAGTGTCAAATGGAAATTGGAAAAATTGTTTTTCCTAATTAAAACATTGATTTAAAAAATACCATGAATATGCGACTCACAAGCGATTTATCAGTTAGTGAGCTTCTCTCAATACAAAAAAAAAATGATCATGAAAAATTTTTATCGATTCAGTTTTTGGAATTATTCCTTTGATTTCGTTGCATGGATAAATAGTTGCCTACAGAATCTTGTGAAAAAATTAAATCAACAACTGAGTAGTGTCCAAAAATATACGAAATATTTCTGTTTTGTTATAAAGATTCTTCTAGTGTACTAGCGAAAAAGATTTTATGGTATTGAAAATCTGTCAATCATTTTTCAATTTTTCTTGAAACTAATATCCGCTTATTATTTTACTGCACCTTTCATCATCATTCTCTAGAAAATTAGTTGGTAGTACGAAATTGTGTTTTACTATTAGATATTGCAACCATTCGTCCGTAATGATTTGCCCTTCAGGGTACCAGACAGTTGCTCGCTGGGACAATTGCTCGTTAAGACATTTGAGCGACAGGATAGTTGCTTACGGGTGCATCGGAAACCGTACGCACACTTATGTGAGTAAGTATCCTAGCAAATAACAGTCTTAGAGATCCATTCTGCAAAAAATTGTCTAGTCACCTTGATTTCTCTCTTCGAATTAATATTGAATTGATAACATTTTATTTGTTTTTCTAGTAACTGTTTATTGGAATTACATTGGTGATAATGGTGGAATGTTATTAAATCCTCAACGATTTCATTCTTCAATGCCATCGATATTTGGTCCAGGTGAATGTTATACTGTTTTAAAAACAATATTTGATTCATGTATCAAATGTTCATTTCAACCAACATCATTTATTAATCGAATACTTGATTTATTTCCTTCAATAAATGATAATAAAAAAATTTCTTCTACACAAATTAAATGTAATCAAATTTTTCTATCAAGATTTAAGATATATCCTATTTTTTTTGTATATTTAGTGGAAAATGGTACGATAGTAAATATTCCTAATATTGAAAATGAAGATGATTTCTGGGAAATCATTCGTATGTTTCAAAATGGTATATTAGCTGGAAATGATTTGTTTATATCAACACTACCACATTCAACTATGAATCAAAGTAAGAATTTGATTAATGTGAAAACATATGTAAGTTTATTTTGATTAGGTAATGGTTCATCTTCATCTTTTCTTGATTCATCATTATCACCTGGTTTGTTTTACTCATTTTTATTTCTTTTATTTTTCAAGAGTATGAAGATTGTTCTTTTTTTTAGATAAAAAAGAAATTTCATCATCAATTAATCAAAATATCAAACGAAAAAGTACAGAATTAAAATCAGGTAAATATTGAAGAGAAATTTTCGTTTAGATTTATATTTTTTATTCTAGAGAATAAAACATTTTTAACAAATGGAAAAGTTCCAAGAGTAACTTCTACTGAAAACTCAGTTTATGACACAAGTAAATATAAATTAGTTGAAAGATAAATTTTAATCTTTTCATTTTTCGAATAAAACAAAGATGGAAAAGTTTCTGTTCATTAAATTTGTGAAGAAAATAAAGAAGTCACAAAACAAAACGAGTGAATAAAAAAGAGTTTAAAAACGTCATTTACAAAAATCTTAGTAGTAAACTTCTGTAGATGATAAAAAATTTACGAGCGCAAATGTTTATTCCGTTGAAATGTCACCTTTTTTTTTTTACTATAATTTTTTCTGGACTCTTCTATTTGCTCCATAAAATTAAAACTTCAAATTATGATCTGAAAACTTGCCCACATAATCAGATTAGTTTGACTGTAAAATTTCACAATTTTTGAATAAGTTATGTGTGAAATATAATCTTTTTCAACATATCAAAACACAGTACAATATCTATGAAAATTTGTTAGATCAATCTCTACGGAATTGAAATATGAGACACGATGTAGTTGCTGTTGCTTATCACAGAGAGATTGTTTTATTCTATCTATTTTGAAATATATCTCTTTTTCATCCTTTAACTTAATCATCTAGAAAAAAGACACATTGAAGTAGATTCATATAATAACAAGACTTTATTGATTTACAATCTTTTATTTTATATCCAAGTCTCTCGAGGGATCCAAATTTTTAACTCTATAGTTTAGCATTCTGTTTGAGATCATGTTTCACACAATCCGTCTGTATAAAAAACATATTCATATCTCAATAGTTTGTCCAAAAATTATGAAACTTTGGAGATCAATTATTCTAATTATGACGAAAACATTTCAGATCATAATTTGAGACTTTGATATTATGTATAAAAAAAAATATGGTGTCATCGGAAAGTTTTCGTAAAAATGCGATATTCCAACCGAATTAACACTTATACTCATATCTTCTCAAGAACTCATTAAACTCTACATTTCGTACTTGTAGATGAAGTTTGAGCATAAAAACTTTTTATCATTTGCGCAAAGGTTCGCTTGCTAGTTAAACATTCATATATTCATTTCGCATCTGCGGAAACTTCAAGAGACTAGTACACTTTTCGCCGAAAGTCACGTCGACGAAGTTCACTAATTTTCATTTCGGTAATCGCTATGCTAATGATTGAATCTATCTTCCATATTCTAAGACTATACCTGCAATATTAGAAATGTCCTAGTATCATATGTATTGATCCAAGTTATCACTTGTCATATAACAAGTTAGCAGATTGTAATATATCATGTGCATAACTGTTGAAGATGCAGAGGATTAACTCAATATCTAATGCGATTGCCTCTGTTTCATGCTCTATAATTTTGTTGATGAATATACGATAGATGTTTATTGTATTTTTGATAAATGATTATATTTAGAACCTTTGCTGAATGCTCATCCATCGCATAATACGAATTTGACAAATAATAATGTTCAAAATGGCGGTATGTAAAACTCTTTATAATAAAATTAAATATATTATTTTTTGATTAGGTACATCATCAAATGTAATATCTCGTCGTCCTGAACGATTTACACCAAGTGATGTAGCTGCATTTGTTAGAGGAATTGATCCATCATTCGATAGTCTTGCTTCTCGTTTTCTTCAAGAAGTATTTATTTATATGTTTATTAAAAAAGAAAGAATCTGTTTCAATTTAATTTATTTATTTTTTTTTGTATAGGAAATTGATGGAAAAGCTCTTCTTCTTTTAACAACTGATACATTAATGAGACATATGGGTTTAAAACTTGGTCCATCACTCAAAATCGTTCATCATATTGAAAAATTAAAAAGTTAAAAAGTAGCAAACATCTTTTTGTTTTTTTATTGAATACTAGTCTGTTCGAATTCTCTTTCTCGGTGATCTCATTTGTTTGCACTCTGACGTATTTTTGTACAATGACAGTGCATACTCCATTCACAATAAAATCAATCTGTTATTTTTCTTTTTTTTTGTATATAATCTGACTTACCTATCCGATCGTATTGTGCAAATTTGTGTATTGTCCGTTTAAATTATATGATCATATAATCTGATGATTTTAGTTGTACCTCATTGTTTTTTTTTGGATTGATATGAGAAAGAAGAATTTTGTATATTAATTGTTCTATATACGCCTTTTTTTTTTGTATTTGTCAATAAATGATCATATTGTGTATTATAGTTGATATATTCAATTAGGTCTTCTTTTTTTGATGCTTTGTGGGAACAATCAGACTTGATTCTATTTAGATGATTTTTGGTTTGAAGAAAAAATAATGTTTAATATTTAACAGAGTACTGAGTAGACAATCACATAGACTACCCACTGCTAAACTATTTTCTTTTGCATTTTTATAGTTCAAATGAGAGATCATTTCGTAAATTTTATTAATCCAAAACATCAAGTTTTCTGATGCACTAGTGGAAAATACCAAATGTTACAATCCTGCAATTTTTCGTGGTTAGACCATAAAAATTAAAAAACTTCGTTTCTAAAGATTTTTTTCTGTCTCTAATCGTTCTTTTGAGTCAGGAGAAAGTCTTAAACACTACAGAAAAGAATTCTTTACAAAATAAACTATATCAGTAATCATTATAATAAGTTTTAGTAATTGATGATATCTCCGCAAGGGAAGGTAGTCTATACTTGATGGCTCTCATTATGCTAGTAATTTGCCTCTAACCTTGCCGAGTTGTGAGGTTCAAAAAAAGATGAATTCACATTTTGAAAACTCTTGATACTTTGCATATTTTGAGATACCATTCACAAGGCAATAAAGATATGCATAGAATTTTAGTAGGAATCACTATTATTGCGCTAAGTTACAAAATCCTACAAATTTGTAAAAATAATGTTCATATTTAGCAATTTTTCTTAGCATAACTTGATATGAGAACAAAATAAATAGCATATTTGAAATGAACGCAAAAATACATTTTGCTCAAATATATCTGAACTTAGATAGGTTTTTGCACTGATTTCGCATATGTTGTGTATTTTGCTCTAAAAACAAACCATAATAATGAAAATTACCAGAAACAAGTACAGTTTATGTGGTTTTTGCACTAATATGAGAAAAAGTTCAATTTTCTCAACATAAATACAACATCTAAGAACATTCAAAAGATACTTTTAAAGCCTAGAGTCTATTGATCCGAAATAAGATAAGATACTTCATCTCATCTCTTCTTATGAAAAACTAAATAGATTGAACGAAATGACTATTAATATATATTCTAAGATAAGTTCAGTTTATTCCTACTCGACCTTTTATTTCAACTTCGCAAAGTGTACATTCAATTAAATAGCATTTTCGTATTCATTTTTTGATGCTGATCATGAATCTGAAAGTATATTTTTATTTGGAACAAATTTAGTCTACAAATAGGGATCAATGACTAGTCAGCATGGGTATTTAGGATTATCAAAGGGTACCACAACGGGGCCACTACTAAAACTCCGTTGTCGTTTTTTACACTTTCAGTAATATATCAAAAGATCGAAAATTTCAAGGACTTTCAAAAACTAGAAGCATTTTTTTGGACACCTATGAATCAATGATGTGACAGACAAATTACTAGCAAAGAGATGATCATCGACTATAGGACGTTCTTTCCTGTGTAGAAGCACTATTTAGTACTAAAACTTATTATAATGATTGTTGATATAGTGAGTTTTATAAAGAATTCTTGTCTGCTTTTTTCAAGACCTTTTACCGACTCGATTGCATGATTAGAGACAGAAAAGAATCTCAAAAAAAAAACCATAAAAATATGAAAAAAAACATTTTTTAAAACTTTTATGGTCTAACCACAAAAATTCAAGGTTTATAGTCTTCAACGTTTTTTCACAAGTGCGCCAGAAAAATATAATATTTTGGATTCATCAATTTAACGATATGATTCTTTAGTTTGACCTTTAAAAAGTCCAAAAAACAAATAGATGAGCGGCACATGCCTTAGCTGATGATCTGACGGAACATCTTTTTTGGAAGTTTATTTAGTGAATATTGATCGTTGTCTTTTGTATATTTAATCTTGAATTATGTAGTTCAACTGAAAACGATAGAAGATCAACAAAATTTAAATATAAAATGTACGAAAACCTTGTACTCTAAAACATGAGATTATACAGTGAGTAAGCAAGAAAAAGAACTTGTTTTTTTTTCTTTCTAATATATATAGTAAATCTCGACAAAAAAAAAGAAACATTGCATGACATACACTTTATTTGATGATTTCACTTGACAGTAAATTTTAGGTTTCAATCTAATTTAAATAAATTCTGAGCATGATCAAACATAAATTAACAAGAAATATAAATTTTAATATAATAACAAATCATACTTGTGGACATATAGCATGCCTGACAGGTAAAGTACTCAAATAAAAAAAAAACGTTCCATTCTTATTTATACATTCATTCAGTTGTACAACGCTCCCCTTATGTTTAATAATTAATGCATAGAAAGCAATCAAAATAAATTGAAAATATTGATGCAACGATACAAGACTATTATAGACGATAGTATCACTTATTAGAAACAATAATTCATATTCACATGGAAAACAATTCTTAAATACTCATTTTTTGATTCATTTAATCGACGAATAGCACTTTGCTGGATCATCTTTCTAGAATTATGTTCTGATTGATGTAATTGATGAGATAATTTGCTCAAAACCACAGAATATTTACCTATAATCTTTAGTTTATATTGTGATAAATTTTTTCTTGTAGCTTCAGTTTTGATGGTAAACAAAATAGCTCATTTAGCAACCGAAAATTTTCTTTATGCCTCACTCGATATATTTATTTCCTTTTTATTTGAAAGAAGAACATGTCAGACTATAGTATAGATCTTCTTGGGTCAGCAGTCGAAACCAAACCGACAGCCTTTTTTTCTAACGTTCTAATTTTTTACGTGGAGAAAAAAGATAACAACTTTACTGCCTCAAAAAAACTGTCAGAAAATGGGTAGCTGTTTACAGAAGTCTGTTTTTAAATACTAATAAAAGAAGTTTGATTCAAAAGAAAACCAAACTCTGTTAGGCACTGCAGCTTCATATTCTCTTTTGGAAACAAATAATGTTAGCTGGCATGAAGTTTCTTCGAGCATTGTGGGAAGAATATTTTTCAATTAAAAAGTGATAAAAAGTTTTGAAGAAAAAAGATATATCAAACAAAAGCTCATATTATTTCTGAAAGACCCAATCACATAATATTCTTTCATTCATCGATCTTGATTTCGATTAATCTGACGAATATTGGATGTTTTTCAAGGTCACTTATTGCTTGGAGGCGACTTTTTTCTCTGATGGTAAGGTCGGAATTGATTCTGTATTTTATTTTCTTATCTAATAATATAATATTCGGTAATTTCTGTTCTATGGGCAAATATAAATAAAAATCAATAGGAGTGAAACAATTAAGGAATGTGTAAAAACATAACATTATCGCACTTATATTTTAAAAATTTATAGCTTAATGAATCTGTTCTTGTTGTAGAAAAAAAAATTTCTATCTTGAAAATCTTTATTGAATAAAGTTCGTATTATGCTAATTTCTAAATCAAGTTTTTAAAATATTTCACAAAACATTATTTATTGATATTACAATAACTTTGATTGTCAGAAATATTTCGAAACATGTGATTTGATACCTTCATATTCATTAATATTTAATGACAAAGTTTTTATTTATTCTCATGTAACAATTTACTATGCCCGAAAGGTAAACTTTGGTATGTCAATAAATATTTTCATGTAAAAATGTGAAACCTGGACAAATTGTTTGTACAATTGATAAAGTCTCCTATCGAAAGTTATCGATTTGACATCACCTTAGTTTCGAATGTCGAACGTTTTCGAAAAATTCTGTGACAATCTTTGAATTACTGACCTAACAACCAAACTCTTAAAATATCTCCTTGGTTCTTAATAGGCATGTTATATATTCAAGAGTTTCATCAAAGTAAAATCAATTTTCTGTACAAATTGAAAGTCTATTTGTTAGAAGTATATATATATATATCAATCGATTTAAAAGGCATGAATTTGTGATTTAAATTAGAATCTCACATGGTAACCCTATCCTGCAGAATAGAGTAAGAGTCAGCAAAAGAATGTGCATTAGAGCTTGCAGATCAGTTATATCCTACATGACTTTGTAGTGTCAGATAGAATTAAGTTAAGAAAATTTTTCTTAGTCAGGGTACAATGTACAAAAAACTTACACAGCACATCTCTAGTTGAAGTTCGATTTGATCTTGAAAAAAACCGATTCTTTGACATCTTTTTAATATTTAATCGTCTGTTTGATTTCATTTCTAAGTTGTACAAAATCAAAACTAAAATATTTGTATTTGAAATAAATTTTTTGAAAATGATCAATTTTTATTTAATGCATTCCCATGATATAAAAAATTACACATTTATCTCATATTAAAATGAATTCATTAACTTAGTTTTGTTTGAGAAAAATCGAACCTGAATAACATAGTTCTGTTTAATCTAATTAAAAGAGAATAATTTCTATTAAATTAAACCATTCGAAACATATCTAATAATAATTTCTTACTCAATCATTGTCAAACTGATCTTTTTGTCTTGCATTTATGTCATTTATATTGACTAGATATAGTGTTACAAGTAGACTTTTGTTGTCCGATTCTAGTGCGCATTTATCTATCGTCACATAAAATAAATATATACACATACTCTCATTCTTTCTTAAATGTGTTTCCGGTCAAACAATTTTTTTTTCTTCTCTCTTTTATATCGAACATTTGTTTGTTCATCCTTATTCACTGGTC